TTTTATTATCATTTTAGACATTCAGTCCTAGCTCTGTATGAGAGTAGGAAGGTAACGACAAAGTACCGGAAAGAACCCCTTGTATAAAATGTAAGTGCATTTATGTGTATATACATTCATTTTATATTAGCAGTGCATAAAGAAATCAGATAAAAGAATGGACACCAGATTATTAACAATGATTATCTTTAAGGTTGGGAATGTCTTTACTTTTTGAGCAATGGAATCTCATAAAAACTTTTATGTTTCAGTAGTTTGTATATTTTGTAATCACAAAATCAATGAGAATTTTAAGAGACTTAATTCTCTTTCCAGTTATATTGGTCAATACAATCCAAATTCCCTTTAGACATCAACACTACTGTGTGTGTAAGTGTGTGTGTCTATAAATAGCACAGAGCCCAAACCCCATGTACGAACAATGCAGAAATAATTGGGAAGAATTAACAGTGTTGTACATCTTTTTTTTAAATATTTTTATTGATTTTTTTTACAGAGAGGAAGGAAGAGGAATAGAGAGTTAGAAACATCGATCAGCTTCCTCCTGCACACCCCTTACTAGGGATATGCCTGCAACCAAGGTATATGCCCTTGACCAGAATCAAACCTGGGACCTTTCAGTCCACAGACTGACGCTCTATCCACTGAGCCAAACCAGCTTTGGCAGTGTTGTCCATCTTGCCTGAAGCCTTTACCATCCTAATCCTGTTGTTTGTGGAGTTTTGCTCCCCATTTGCTTCTGTGAGACTCCCAGAGGCCTGACCTTAAGCACTTGGTCTCATCTTTTAGACCCGGATCCTGCCTCTTTCCCAATGGACTGTGTTTGGACGTGGACCATGGTGTTGGACCTTGGCTGTTTCTCCATGCACTTGGTTTCCTCCTTTAGCTTTGGCCTCATGATGGAAACACAAACCCGAAGTCAATTTTGCAGAAAAGAACTTTTCTGGAAATGTGGCTGAATATTCAGGGGAAAAGAGGGATCAAAACAGAATAATCTGCAGCATTCATACTTTTATTTAAATGTCAAGCCTGAAAAAGGCCTGGCATGAATTAGAAATGCTACTTCTTGACCAAAACCAGCCAAGTCATCATTCAGGTTATAGACATTAAATAATATAAAGATGGAAGAACAGATAGCCATTGCCTGGTATCCAGATAGTCTACAATGCCATCAAAAAGAATTAAAGCTAGCCCTAACTGGTTTGGCTCAATGGATAGAGCATTGGCCTGAGGACTGAAGGGTCGCAGGTTCGATTCCAGTCAAGGACATGTACCTTGGTTGTGGGCACATCCCCAGTGGGGAGTGTGCAAGAGGCGCTGAATTGATGTTTTTCTCTCATCGATGCTTCTAACTCTCCTTTCCTCTCCTTTCCTCTCTGTAAAAAATCAATAAAATATATTTTTTTAAAGAAAGCAAAAGGAAAAAAGTAGAATAATAAAGGTAATGTGAGGACATCTTCCTTAATCTCCCTAAAAAGAGACAATTAGATGGAGTGGGACCCACCTCAGCAGATTAAACATAGTGATGGGGGATGAGCCATGGAAAGGCTACCCCAAAGTGGCATGGGGGGGGGGGGGGAGCATGGTACAAAAAAAATGGTCAAATATGCTCCACTGTGGGAAATTTGTACCTAAAAGCCATAACCCAGACAGAAAGAAAGTTTGTTGACAACCTAGGCTCCCTCCTGAAATCTTTCTTCACAGTAGATAAGCATTGAGGAAGGGGCAAGAGAAAAGTTCTATCACTCATACCTTGAAAAATTCAAAGGTCAGGACAGGAATTACCAGCAACTATTTGTGGTGAGGAGACCTTTGTAGTTAACTTTTCTAAACCTTTTCTAGGTCACAAACCTTGAATTCAATGATACTGCTTCACGACTACACACAAACATTCAAATTTGCATTCAGTTTCAGAGACTTCACAGACCTCCTGTTAACTACAGGAGGTAAGAACCTTTGAAATAGAAGCTAAATCCCTTTGTAGAAAGTTAAAGCCAGGTGAGAAAATAACCTTTCACATTTATGATATAGAAACACGGATTGTTGATACAGAATTTTAAATCACTTAGGAAGACACAGGAAAAAGATGGCCTTTACTAGTGCCTTATTAGATAGAGGGTGAATGGTCCTTAGAAACAACCCATTATCTCACAACTCTAACTTGTAAAGTTTCTAACCAATAAAAATAATCATGGTAGTCATTGTAAGAGTCATTGATTGTGTACATACCATATGCTAGGTCTCAGACCCAAAAACTATTACTTAACCGTTACTGAGAATTGTAGTGTTCATGTAAAGTAAGTTAATACATTGAGCTTAGGAGAAAGCATGGTATATATCAAGTACTCCAGTTAGCTATTACAATCAGGAAGTACTAATGTGCTGGTGGGTTTATATAAAAACTCCCACCAGGATACCTGACACCACCCTTCTCTGAAAAGCCATCAATTTATTCAAAGCATGAGAACCAAATACAGTAGCTACTCCCCCCCCCCCTTACAGTTTTACTTTCTGAGGTTTCAGTTATCCACAGTCAATTTCAGTCTGAATATGTTAAATGGAAAATTCCAGAAATCAACATTTCATAAGTTTTACTTTTTAATAAATCCTATTGTTCAGATTATTACAATTGTTCTTCTTTTCCCCCTATAGTTCCCCTCCACCTGCTTCCCACCCTACCCTCTGCCCTTACCCCCCTCCCACTGTCCTCATATATAGGTGTACGATTTTTGTCCAGTCTCTTCCCACACACCCCCACACCCCTTTCCTCCCCAAGAATTGTCAGTCCACACCCTTTCTATGACCCTGATTCTATTATATTCACCAGTTTATTCTGTTCATCAGATTTTTTATTCACTTGATTTTTAGATTCATTTATTGATAGATATGTATTTGTTGTTCATAATTTTTATATTTTCCTTTTTCTTTTTCTTCTTCTTCCTCTTCTTAAAGAATAACTTTCAGCATTTCATACTAGTTTGGCGGTGATGAACTCCTTTAGCTTTTTCTTATCTGTGAAGCTCTTTATCTGACTTTCAATTCTGAATGATAACTTTGCTGGGTAGAGTAATCTTAGTTGTAGGCTCTTGCTATTCATCACTTGGAATATTTCTTGCCTCTCCTGTCTGGCCTGCATAGTTTCTGTTGAGAAATCAGCTGACAATCGTATGGGTGCTCCCTTGTAGGTAACTATTTTTCCTTTGCTGCTTTTAATATTCTTTGTCTTTTGCTCTTGGCATTTTAATTATGATGTGTCGTGGTGTGGTCTTCTTTGGATTCCTTTTGTTTGGGGTTCTCTGTGCTTCCTGGACTTGTAAGTCTATTTCTTTCATCGGGTAGGGAAAGTTTTCTGTCATCATTTCTTCAAATAGGTTTTTAGTATCTTGCTCTTTCTCTTCTTTGACCCCTGAGTACAATGACTCTTGGATCTCCAAGGAGGTACTAATTTAGCCTTTGCCTGGAGCCACACAGCAGGAGCTATGAAGAGATCTGCAGATTCCTCTTCTTTGTTTGGGTTTTGGAGGTGTCCAGATGAGGCCCAGGTGTGAAGCAGTGTAAGCTGTTGTGGGGCCTTGGGCCTTCTTTTGGATGTTCTGGGTCTCTCTGACTTAGCTGCAGTTTGTTAGGTAAGATTAGAATTCAAAGGACCAGGCCATTTGTACGCAAAAGCCTCTGTACTCAGCTTGGATGGGGCAGAGTCTCAGGGTGGAGCAAACAGCAATGGCTTCCCATTAGCTCTTCCCTAAGAGGCCCCTAGGTCTCAGTGTCTCGCAGTAATCACTGCAAGCACCTCTGAAAGAAAGCTGCCCTCAAGTTTCACCCACAGCCAGACAGTCCAATTTCTCCCTGTATGAGTTTGGGCCCACAGAGTCTTGCCCAGAACTGGAGTTCAGAGCAGTCAGGAGCTTTTGTCTCCCTCCCAATTGAGAAAGCCAGCTGTGTACTCAGTTGCCAGCCTCCTTACCTCTGCCTTCTGCAGCTCCTGTGAGTCTCAGTGTGCTTTTCTCTGTCCTTCTAGTTGTAGAATTTCCACTCAGCCAGACTTCCTGTGGTTCTGGGTGATGTCATTTTGTCCTTTAGTTGTAGTTTTGAAATTGCTGTGCGAGGCAGCAGTTCACGTGTTTACTTATGCCACCATCTTGATTTCTCTCCTCATACGTTTTAAATAACACAATATTTGGAGTAGTGTGATGAAATCTTGACCCATCCCACCTGGGCCTGAATCATCATTTTGTCCATTGTATCCACAAGGTATGTATTCCCAACCTGTTAGTCACTTTGTACCTGTAGATTATCAGATTAACTGTCCAGGTATCCCAGTGCTTATGGTTAATAACCTTTATTTTACCTAATAACGATCCCAAAGCTCAAGAATAGTAATGCTGGCAATTTGGATATGCCAAGGAGAACTGTAAAGGGCTTCCTTTAGGTAAGAAGGTGGGTACAATACAATGAGATATTTTGTGTCTGTAAAAGAGAGAAACTACATTCACACAACTTTCATTACTTTCATTTAATTGTTGTAATTACCTCATTTTATTTTATTATTAGTTATTGTTGATATCTTTTTTAAAAAATATATTTTATTGATTTTTATAGAGAGGAAGGAAGAGATATAGAGAGCTAGAAAAGTCGATGAGAGAGAAACATCGACCAGCTGCCTCTTGCACCCCCCCTACTGGGGATGTGCCTGCAACTCAGGTACATGCCCTTGACCAGAATCGAACCTGAGACCCTTCAGTCCACAGACCAACGCTCTACCACTGAGCCAAATCGGTTTTGGCTATTGTTGATATCTTACTACGCTTCATTTATAAATTAAACTTTATCATGGGAAAAAAACACCTATGGGGTCAGGTACTATCAATGTTTCAAGCATCCATTTTGGATCTTGGAAGGTATTCCATGTGGATACTGGGGGTAGGGGATCTCCTCTATGCTCCTTAAATATTGTGGGTAAGCCTGACCAGAAACCATGTTAAGAATAAACATCTAAAAACTGCTGAACCCTGGGATTGAACCAGGGACCTTTAGATCTTCAGGCTAACACTCTACCAACTGAGCTATTTCAGCTTGCTTAGGTAGCTTCTACATAATTGTAGTGGAATAATAGTTGTTTTACAATAACAAAAAAAAAAGTTCACTGTTCAGGTTTGGCTGGAGATAGGTACTTAACAAATATTATAGAAGTGTTTATAAGCTAGAAGTAATACATAATTTTACTTTTCTCAGATATGTTTTAACTGCACTGTAATCTGTTTTTCCCATTTAAAAATAAATCATGGACATTTTTCACATCAAGAGAAAGAAAAGGTGACTTTTGTTGGCATTTTGATTCTGATATATGACTAATTTCTAGAAAAAATGACAGCATGGTCCACCTAAATATTTAATGAAATATCAATTTTTCATGGAAGCTGTGTTCTATGGATCCACAGATATAGCCAGGATTAGAAACAAACTGAAGACTAAAGCTCCAAGGAGTTCACTCAGGGGAAATGACAGACACAGGATATAGGAACAAGAAAATTTGAACAAGAAAGATTAAGTAAACTGGAAAGTTTTGTGATAGCAGAATAGGGCCTCCAAACATGTCAATGCCCTATCTCCAGATACAGTATGTTAGACTGCCTGGCCAAGAGAATTAAGATTGCAGATTCTTTTAACCTATAAGTTTAAAGTCCTATAAACTCAAGGTCAAGCTGTCGCTAAATTACCGTATTGGTTTAGAATAAAGTTTATATGATTTAAGATAAAGACTGATTCTAACACCATTTTTCACTGTCAGACACATTTCTACCTTTTTTAGGTAGAATCTGTGTAGTGAAAGAATTGAGCAACTCATTTCCCTGGGCCTCAGTTTCTTCACCTGTAAAATGATGATAACATCTGTCATGCCCCCTGACCTGCCTCCCCAAATTTAGATCTGGAAGTTTCTCAGAATGTTAACTAAGCAGATTATTAAATTAAAATGAGATTGCGGGCAGTGCCTTCGGCACCCCGGATCTGTCTCTCGCTTCAACAGAGTTTGAATGGAACAGCCCCTTCTTTCAGCCTCTGGCCAGTCTCCTTCATCTTTTCCAGTCACCACCTTCAGAATCACCTCTGGGCCCTTCCGTTTTTTTGTTTTGTTTTGTTTTGTTTTGTTTTTGTTTTCCACTTTAACTCCTTATTGCCGAAAACCATGAGTCCCAAATTTGTCAGAATTATTTCCCAGAGTTGGAGGCTGCGGTCAACCGCCTGACCAGCCTGCCTCTGGGGGCCTCCCACACCTACCTCTCCTGGGCTTCTATTTTCACCGCGAGGATGGGCTCTTGAGGGTTCTGGCGGCTTCAGCTTCAAGGGCTGAGAATGTCTCTTAAAAAGGTGAGGGGCGGAAACTCAGGATGCCAGGGAAGCTGCCCTGGTCTTGGAGAGGAGCCTGACCCGGGCCCTTTTGGAGCTGCAGGTCCTGGGTTCTATCCGCCCAGACCCTCAGCTCCAAGACTTCCTCCAGAACCACTTCCGGGTGAGCAGGTGAAACTCGTCAAGAAGATGGACCAGACCTGACCCATGTCCGCAGGCAGCCGGCCCCCGGGCTGGGCTGCGGGAGTATCTCTTTGAAAGGCTCACCCTCAAGCACGACTGCATTCCCCTGGTGTCTGGCTTTCACCTGAGTTTCTCCCTGAAACCACTAGCCATTCTTTTAACCACTCTGAAGACCTCTCCCATGCATTGGACCAAATGAAATAATAAAGCTTTTTTGCAGCGAAAGTAAATAAATAAGTAAATAAATAAAAATAAATAAATAAAAGGAGGCTGCTAAGGTGGGACCTTAATCCAATCTAACTTGTGTCCTTATGAGAGGAAGAGACACCAGGTGCTCCTGCACAAAGGGACATCCATTCAAGGAAAAGGCAGCAAGATGGTGACTGTCTGCAAGCCAAAGAGAGGCCTGACTCAGGTCCTCCCAAGGATGGCCTTTAGAGGAAGCCATCCCTGCCCACACCTTGATCGAGGACTTCCAGACTCCAGACCTGTGAGAAAATAAATTTCTGCTAGTTAAGGCACCCACTCTGTGCTATTGTATTATGGTAACTCTAAAAAACTAATACACTATCCATTTACAGGGAAATACGTAAGAAATTCAGAGTAAATAAGGAGATTAAACAAGGTCAGAGATGCCAAACGCAGTAGGTAGATATCCAGGGTTAATGATATTGGGTATAATACAGAGATGTTGAACCAAGATAAAATTCTAATTTTTTAAATTACCTTTTAAATATCAAGGATTAACTCATTGTTAATCTCTTTGTTTTGCCCAGTAAATTTTTATATTGGGTCGGCAGCTAAGTAATTGCGGATTTTTTAAAGAAAATCAAAGACAATTTTTTCATGGAACTAAATAACTTTATTCTGTAATGTATTGCCCATTTTGATCAATGACCTTTTGCCATCTTTCATGCAGCATCATAATCCCAAGTTCAAAAAACTTCTGGTTTTTATTAGCAAAAAACTGAATCAGGTACGATTTGATATCATCATCATTATTGAAATTTTTACCATTCAAGGAGTTTTGTTAAGATCGAAACAAAAAGTAATCAGATGGTGCAAGGTCAGGACTATATGGTGGATGTGGCAAAACATCCCAACCAAGCTCCATTAATTTTTGCCGAGTGACCAAAGATGTGTGTGGCCTTGCATTATCATGATGGAATACAACACCTTTTCGATTTGTCAATTCGGGCCTCTGTTCTTCAACTGCATTGTTTAATTTCGTTAGTTGTTCAATGTAGACATCAGAATTGATCGTTCGGTTGGGTGGTAAGAGTTCAAAGTAGACAATTCCTTTGTAATCCCACCAAACTGATAACAAAACCTTCTTTTGATGAATATCAGCTTTTGATGTTGTTTGAGTTGGTTCACCTGGCCTGCTCCACGATCTTTTCCGCTTGATATTGTTGTAAACAACCCATTTTTCATGGCCAGTTATCAGTCGTTTTAAAAATGGGTCATTTTCATTATGTTTCTTTAGCAAATCGCAGCTGCTAATGCGTTGCGTTAACTGTGATTCTTTCAGTTCGTGAGGAACCCATGTATCGAGTTTTTGAACATAGCCAAGTTGTTTTAAGTGATTTTCAATGCATGTATGTGATACATGAAGCTTCTCTGCAATCTCACGTTTTGTACTGTGACAGTCCGAATTGACTATTGCTTTGATTAGGGCGTCATCAACTTCAACTGGACGACCAGAGCGTTTTTCATCTTTGAGTGAAAAATCACCAGAACGAAATTTGGCAAACCAATTTTGACACTGCCGTTCTTTTAAGGCTTCGTCACCATAAACAGCACATAACTTTTTATGAGCTTGCGATGCGTTTTTCCCTTTGCGGAAATAAAAAAGCAAAATATGACGAAAATGTTCCTTTTGATTTTCCATTTTTCAACGAACGCCAAATGAAAACTACAAAACAGATCAAAAAACTTTTTTTACTGATTAACAGCTGAATAGCCAACTATCAAATAACAAAATGTGTTTTACATTTGTACTATGTCTGCAAACCTAAAAATTCAACTGAAGCCATATATGTGTGAAACCCGCAATTACTTAGCTGCCGACCCAATAGAAGAAAAGAAGCATACTTCTTCCCCAAATGTAAACCTCCTATTTAATACTGCAAATAGTTTGGGGACAACATTTTCCAAAGGCCCAGAGTCATTTGTCTGAAATAATCCAGAAATTGGGGGTCTGATAATTGACTTCTTTATAAAGTAGTTTGGTAGGAAAATATATATATTGTATTTTAAATATATTTTATTGATTTTGTACAGAGAGGAAGGGAGAGAGTTAGAAACATCGATGAGAGTGTCATCGATCAGCTGCCTCTTTCACACCCCTTACTGGGGATATGCCCAAAACCAAGGTACATGCCCTTGACCGGAATCGAACCCAGGTCCTTTCAGTCCCCAAGCCGACGCACTATCCATTGAGCCAAACCGTTTTCAGCAGGAAAATATATTTTTTTAAGAACACAACATTGGTGAGTAGGCATAGGATCATTTCTAAACATTTCTTTGAAACATGAAACCAAAGCATTCTGAGTCAGAAGACCTTTGAGTTGTGAATACCAGACTCTAGAATTCAAGAGGCCCAATCCTTTGAATGAAAAATGAAAAGACAGAAAGATTTTTAGCAAACCTCTGAATACTGAGAAAAAAAACAGCTTTTACCAAAATAAGTCAGAATTAAGGGCTGAGAGTCTTAAAGACAAATCTCCTGAAATCTGTCACATTTTCTTAAATAGCTTTGCTCTTACAGGCCTATTTCCTCAGGATAAGCCACAGCGGGTTTACACTTAATAATAACCACTGTGTTGGATTTCTCTTCAAATTATCTTTCCTTTCAAATGTACCCAGAGGTTCACTCCCCCTATGTGGTTCTCCATTTCCTTTATCCCTAAAGCCAAGTGCAGCGTCAGCTGTAGGATGAAAGGATCTGGGGCTTTAACTTCTCAGTTATGACCATTTTCAGTCTATGGAATTAATTCACAGCACATTAAGTATTAGAAATACTCCTGTTCACTTATTAATAAACACTCTTCACAAAGCTCGCCTCCATCTGCCTCAAATTCTAGTTCATGTTCCTCAAGTGCATTAGTCCACTGACTTCAGGGAACTCCTGGAGACTAGGCCAGTTTGCTCCAGACTCATTTAGGCAGCAGTCCCTATGAGAGCTGAGACTTGCAGGAAAGACACCACAGGCTGCAGTCTTAAGTCTTGCTCAAAGTGACAGCTCACACTAGGGACACAGCTGCCACGGCCATATTTGCTTCCCTGCCCAGGCACTGAGACCCATAATCCTGCAGGCTCAGCAGATCCTCCTGGCCCAGTGGTCAGGCTGTGACCCCGGCTCTAAGACCAGAACTACAGGACAGACCAGGACTGTTTGGGCTTCAGGGCCTGAACTTCAAAGTTTGAACCACATGACCATTCCCCAAACTGAGCTGGAATCTGATTCAAAGTTCAGATACCTCACATTGGGAGATTTCATATTTCTCCAGAATATAATTCACTCCCAGAAAGGAGAAAACATG